AGAGGACTGATTTTCTTGCAGGAGGTGGGCAACTCGAATTATGAGTTGCTGGAGTCCCTCCTGCAAGGACGAGAGTTGGAGGACGTGGAACTGAAGGATCTTCGACAGGCTATGGAGCGCCATTACCAACCGAAGAAGTTGGTATTAGCAGAGCGTTTCGGCCTCATGTCGAAGGTCCAGAAGCCAGGACAAGCCCTGCACGAATACTACGCGGAGCTGCAGAAAGCAGCAAATACGTGTAGTTTCGAAGAAATCAAGAATCATCGGGATGCGGTAGTCACGATGGTCTTCATTGGAGGACTGCTCTCAGTAGATACAAGGAAGCGACTACTGGAAAAGGAGGACTTGATCGAAAGAAGCTCTGGAACAAGCAGAAGCGTTTCGAGCGTGTTGGAGCAAACGCTCCGCATTTGAAGGAAGGTCCCCAAGCAGTAGGGATAGCTGAGGTAAGAATGCGTAACCGGCAAGCGGCTCGGCGCACGCAAGCAGTAGATCAAAAAGGGAAATCGAGCAAGGGCCGATCGGAGGTGGCCAAAATGGGCACCACCACAGCCGAGAAAACGATAATGGCGCTGAAGGAGGTTTTCAGCAGGAATGGGTTGCCGGAGCAGTTGGTTTCCGACAACGGACCCCCTTTTACTTCGGCGGAATTTCGTGAATACTGCTGCAAAAGAGGTATTCAGCAGATATTCGCACCGCCGTACCATCCTAATTCAAATGGAGAAGCTGAGCGTTTCGTGCAAACTTTCAAAAACACCCTGTATAAAGGGTTACGATCCAACAAAAGCCTTGAGAATGCGGTATTGGATCTGTTCGAATACAGGGTTACACCCCACGCAGCGACGGGACAGGCACCCACGGAAATACTAATGGGAAGGAGTCTGAGGACGATTTAGATATAATAAAGGCAGGAAAATCGAGTCCTCAAATATGTATATAGAAAATATGAAAAAGAATTACGATCGAGGGAAAAAGGAAAGGAAATTTAGTGTGGGACAGGAAGTATTCATTGGGACAGGAAGTATTCATTCGGAACTACACCGGGGCAGGGGACAGGTGGATGCCTGGAATTGTGGTCAAAATTCTAGGCTCAAGTACTTATGAAGTTCATTTCGGTATGGGAGTAAGAAAAACCCATGCGGATCAAATGAAAGAAAGAGTGATCCCGTGGGAGTTAGTAGATGAGGGATGGTTAGAGAAAAGGGACCGGAGAGCTCGTGTACAAGCTAGAGAACCTACCGAAACGATACCGCCGCGTCGTTCTCAAAGGAAGCGGCAGGCTACCGCTAGAATGAAGAGTTCCAGGAAAATGAAAAGCGTAGGAAAATAAACTGCATAAGGATGATAGTGAATGAAGACGAAAACAAAAACAAATGTTATCACCGCGGTGCTTATAAAAGAAGGATGGATGAGTGTGGTCATTCAGTTATGTTCGCCTTGCCAACCACCGCAGCGGCAGGGGGGACGGGACAAGCCCCGTTCTTCACCCCCCCCCCTGCATCATCGTACAACAGCCGGCCTGCCCTCCGACGGGAATGCCGAATGTGGCGGAGGGGGGGGGGAGTTACAGTGATGGCTGCAGTGCCCGTGCAGCCGGGAGCTCCAGCCCCGAAACCACGAAGCAGAAGGCGCCGTCCGTAGCGCAGTAAAGCGCTGTGGACGGCGGTAAGAAGTCTTCAGCGAAAGACGCTGTGGCAATCAATCTAGAAGTTCACGCCGAAGTCAGTCGAGAAGAAGAAGCAGGAGCAGAAGCAGGGATCGTTCCCGAAGAGGACTGACTCGCGGCCGACCGCGAAGCAAGGCCCGAAGTAGAAGTAGAAGCCGGGCTAGGGTTCCCGAGTCGCCGTCCCCTGTAAGGGGGGACGGCGGCAACGAAGACCTATAAAGATCTATAAAGATTCAATAAAGAGTTGTGTTGGTAGTGGTTACTGAAACAAGACAACACATATTGGGTTGTAATGCCCGTGGTCCACTGTTGGAGTGAGGGCCGCTTCCCAGGAACCTGGAGTGACCGGATGGTCGCCGGTCACTGGGGGAGGTGTAGGGGAGCGGTGTGGAATGCGAGAATGGAGAGAGTGAGGATGTTTGGATGAGAGGATGATAATGATTGGTGAATGTATAAAAGGCTTGGCGGTCTAATAAATCATTCCTCTCCCAGTGTCGTCTCATCGCAACTGAGCGTAAGAGAAGAGAAGTTGGAGAAAAAAAAACGAAACGCGCCACCGATAAACAATGGAGAGGAGATGACAGTGGCGATGAGGCTAATCGTATAGAAATAATGGGGATGAATGTGCAGAATGGGAAGATCCGTGACGCATCCCCTATCCGTTCCCTATTCACATCCCTCGTAACCCTCTTCCCCATTTATTCGCCAGTGCCCTTTGTGAGGTGGCCATCCCAGTTCGTAGGACGATCTCTTCCGGTAGTATGCACTAGTCCTTGTTCATCAATGTAGTCTCTATATGTGTTGTGTTGTATAGATGCTAGTTTTCAATGTGATCTGAAGAAGGGCTTAGGCCCGAAACGTTATCAGTAAAAGTTTGGAATACAAGAGCTTCCACTACACACCTGAACAAGATTCAAAGGTTGGAGCTTAGGGAACCATCAACCACTTCCTCACTATATGATATGTTCATTGTCTAACAACGGGTGGGGTTCAGCACATGCGTAATGCAATGTCACGCATGAACCAGTCAGTACTCTCAGCTATTGGGTTGGCCCATAAGTGATGGCGTTTTTTTTCAACTGGAGATTTTGTGCAAAAAGTGAGAAGTTTTGCGAGCAAGTTTCGATATCATCTGATAGGAAACTTCTCGTACTATAAGAATATCGAAACAGCTTCGGGTGAGGAAATGATTTTTGTAAGTCTTTTAGTCACTGAAGTCGAAAGTTTCGAAAGTTGAGTCGGTGAAAAGTACCTTCGACAGCTGCCTCTATTTACGTCTATTCGAAGTGCTAAAATCGCTTAAGCTGCTCCATACATTTGCAATAGGTTGAGCTAGAAGTCCCAGCGAGGGAATCCTCATAGGACGCTTCGGAACTAATTTCAAGAATTTCGAAGTTGGCAACCTTCACCTCGCAGATAATGGGCAGGATCACAAGTCATCGCGTCTGTTCCACTTGAAATTTTATGGTAATAGTTGAATGTTTCGTTAATGTGATTGCAATGGAAATTGTTGTCTATTGCTGTCTGCTTTCTGTTAATTTCAGGTTTTAATACGGAATGTCAGGTCGATGAGAATCAGCAT